ATATTTAAAATCGAATTAAGAATTTAAGAATAAATACGGAAAAACTTTAATTTATATTCAATAAGTAAAAAAAATATAGTACAACTAAAATAAATTTATTTAAAAATACTCAATTTTGACTCAAATGAATATTAGAACAAAATGCCTAAATACCAACAATCATCAAAATACTATTTAAAATGAGAAATGAGTAAAGAAAAATACCCAGATGAAAATTTAAAAAAAAATGAACTGAAAGAAAAAATTAAAAAACATGAAGAAAAAATTTCTCAACTAAAATAGAAACTACAAGAAAAAAAACGTAGAAGACAAGAAAATGAATTTTGGTCTTTATGGATTAAAGATATGATTATCAAAAATCATAGACTTGATTTTTTTAAAGAAGAAGAAAATAAATTTAGGCAATCTATCCAAAACACACCAATTGAAAATGGTAAAATCAAAATTGTTAATGATTTTACAACAAAATATATAGAATCTCTAAAGAAGATTCTGATATCAATGATGATATCAATGAAATTGTTGAAATTACAGAAGAAAATTCTAATTCTGAAACAGATGAAAATACAGAAGAAAATTCTGAAACTTCTAAATTAGAAATTGTTAACAAATCAGAAGTTAATAATGAAAATTTAACTAATTACAATAATTATATTATGATTATGATTATTTTAATTTTATTGATTATAATGATAATATAATCAATTCAACTTTAGATAACAATTTATTTTATGAATATTTTAATTTTAACAATACTCTCTAATAATTTATTCCAATCTATAACTAACTACATATTTATATATTATTTATATATTATTAAATAAAACATTATATTTAATCAGAAAAATGAATAATTATTTCTTTTTTACTTATTTAATTTGTTGTTTTCATCTTCTCTTACAAAAATAATTTGAATCTTCTGAATCAACAACACTTTTTTGCTCAGAATTTACAAATAAATCTTCTTGTTGATCATTAGATAAAATTTCTTTTTGAGGTTCTTTGACTAGATTGGAAGATTCTATTTGAGGATCTTCTATTTGATTGGTTATAGAAAATTGTTCACATTCAAGATGATATTTATCAAGACATCTTGAATTTGGATAATCACAAAGATATCTTTTTTTATATTCTGGAAAATGATAACACTAATACATCTGTTCATCTTTTTCAATAATAGATCCTTCAAATCCTTCAGAAGATTGTAAAATTTTTCTTTGCAATTCCTTATCTATTAACTCTCGACATCAAAATTTTACTAGCCAATTCATATTTCAAAAATCAGTTTCTGAACCTTTATGAAAAATGAGTTGAGTTGTACGTTTTTTAATATTATCATCCCATTCTCCTTGAAATTCTATAACAAAATTTAATCAACGATTAAATTAATTAAAATCTCACTTATTATTATCTTTTGAATCATGCTGTCCAAAATTATAAGCTTCTTCAGGTGGTTTTGTACTTGTCATAAAAACAAATTTTGCTTTAAATAAAGTTTTATATGTCCCATATTTAATTTTTACAGGACAAGATGTATCATTTAAAACATTAACCATATCTGACCAATTAATTTTTGTATAGAATTCATCAAAAAATACAATTTCTTGACCTTTATAACCATTCCAAAAATTTGATCCACTACATTGTTTCTTTTGTTTTTCAAAATATTCTCCATTAAATAATTTTGAAACCAAACTAGTTTTTCCAGATCCTCCTAGTCTATATAGATAAAAAACTACTGAACACCAACCTTTGAATAGTATCTTTCTTTTTTTGTAAAAGTCTATCATGTGCATCACAAACAATAGCTATATTGCTTGGACTTTGAATAACCTATTGAGGATTATCCTTCGCAAACTTGATAGTTGCTTCTTCTTTCGATAAATTATTTTCAATAATTTCATCTATATATTCTTTTGCAGCCTTTAATATATAGTCTTTATATTGATTTTTTCCTGTTTTATTTTGAACTTTTTTATCTTGTTGAATTGAATATTCAAATGGCCCAGAATTCTCATCATAATGAGCCAATGTTCTTTGAAAACAACATTCTTTATTACACCACACACAATTTGAAAATCATTCAAATCAACATAACTACAATGGCAAATTGCTAAATGATTATTATTTTCATCTGATATAGTATTTTTTATAAATTTCTGTTTAATAAGATATGAATAATCTTCATGTTTAACTATTTGACGATTATGAATTGAACATTTGTTGTATTTTTTTTTTACAATATAAAACTGAATCTTCTAAATTGACAACCTTATCAAAATGTATTTTATTAATCTGAAAATGTTTTTTAATTCTACCAATCTTATTTTTTTTATTATCTATACCTAATTTATAATTACTAATTCTTTCTTGATTTTTTAAATGACAAAATCCTTGAATATGACAATCTTGTTCACTATTTTTAGCCTTATAATTTCATTCATATTGATAAACAATATGTTTAAAAAGACACAATTCTTTATTTTTAAAATAATGCCAAATTAAAGAATCAAATTCCTTATGAACAAAATCATAAGTAACAAAACTAACCAAAGAAAAATGATTATCAATTTTTATTACTGACATCTTAAACAGACAAAGACAAAATTATATTATATTTATACTTATTTTTAATTTAATAATTACCTTCTTTAATTTTAAATAAATATCAAAAATATTCTCATTAATTCATAAATAAACTTTTAAACTTCTCATAATTTACTCTTAAATTTCACTCATAATTTACTTTCAATTTTTCAAAATTTTAAAAAAATTATCATTAATCAAATTCATAAAATACGAATTTGGATATGAATTAGTAATTTGCCAAATTCATATTTTATGAATTTGGCCTAATCTTATTTTTTTTGTTAACTAAATTCATATTTTACGAATTTAAATGTGAATTAGTAATTTGCCAAATTCATATTTTACGAATTTGGTTAATAAAAAGATAAGACTAGCCAAATTCGTATTTTACAAATAAGGAAGTTTATTGAACTTTCTTATTCGTATTTTATGAATTTGAAACTACAATCTAAATTTATAAAAAAATAACAATTCTTCTCGTAAAAAACAACTTTGAATTTTAAAGCTTATCTCCTCAAATTTATCTATAAAAAGACAAATTTTCTACTTATGAAATATTAACATTATGAATTGTAAAACATCAATCAATAATTTGATTATCCTTTTATCACTTATACTACAACCTCCAAAACTTTTTTTCAAAAAATATCTTAATCAAGATTATGAATTTTATATTAATGAACATGAAATTATCCATGTTAAAAAAACAAACAATAACAAAGTAATTGCAATATTTCTAAAATATGTATTACATAAATATTTAAAAGATAATGAAAAAAGTGCTAAAGAAAAAAAAAACTAGTCGATTCAATATCTGTCCATTCTGTGGAAAATTAGATTTTACATATTACTGGGAAAGTATTTCTTTCAGCATAGATAAAACAAATTCTAATCGATTCTCTAATTTAGCTAATAAAAATTTAAATCATTGTGGTTTTCATAATTATTGGTGTACAAATTATTTAAAAATTGGTTAAACATTTCAATTACAATTAATTGATTTTTCTCATATTTAAAATTTTTTTAACAAATATGCAAAATGTCAAAATGTAAAAATATATTGGTGTGAACATGAAAATATCTCTGTATATAACAACAACAATCATATTTTAGATATCTATTCTGAACAAGATTTATTTTATTTTATTAATAATTTTGTTAAAAAAAAATGTACTTTTAATCAATGCGATAATTGCAATCATATTAGTGTAGATAAATAAAATAACTTTAATGAATGTAAAGTAGTAAAATGTTGTTGTAACTCTTAAAAATTATTTAATCAAATTTTCAAAAACTTATTATTTTAAATATATTTATCATTTTCAATAAACAAATTATATTTCAGAAAATTCACTTCTTTTATTAGCCAATTAAAATACTTTATTTTTATCTAAAAACACTTCAGAAAATTTAAACCTAGATGCCAGGTATACCAAATCTAGACAACATTAAAATTTTTTTTTTTTTTTTTTTAATATTAAGGTGACCACTTAGGTTCCTGGCACTTAGCTTTATTCAGATAAATATGATA